AATAATACTATTTCATATTAATATATTATAACTTATAATATATTAATAAATCATAAACATACTATTCTCATAATATTATCCATATAAATAGTTCGGGTGAAGTGCAACCCAAATGGACCATGCCGGGTCGGGTCAAGTATATACCAAATAAGTTATGGACTTAGACACCTTATCCAACAGCATAAACAAGGGAAGCAATAGAAGATAGGGTTAGAACACATACCAGTCACTACATCCGGTGATGTACGAGCCTCATCGGTGGTCAGGTGAAAAGCCCTGCTCTTCACCAAAGGAGCCTCCGCCTTGCCCTGGCGGCCATCAGTAATCCTCAAGGTGGCTGGCGCAGGCATCACCACTGTTCCCCCATACAATCTCCGACAATCGGCCTTTTTTTGGCCGATCTGATTGCAATGAAAGCAAACCAGATCCCTTTTGGGGCAATCCCTGCTCACGTGACTCGACTGGAAACAGCTAAAACATCCTGAGCCTGCTGATCGACAAGTTCTAATGTGCGGTTGCTGTACTTGGAGCAACGACCCCGACTCTGCTGGCCTTTGGTGTGGGTATCGGAGGTCTCGGGTCTCTTAGGCTGACCCACAGTTGACTGAACCTGCTCTAAATTTCTCTTCATCCGGAGCTCCAACTCAATCTCTCGCTCACGGGCCTTCTCTACCATATCATTCAGGGTCTTGCACCCCTAGAAGCTCACGAAATCCATAATATCTTCCCTCAGCATATCATGATATCTCGTCTTCCTCATCTCCTCATCCGCAGCGTATTGCGGGACCAACAGTGCTCTCTCTCTCTGAATTTGGCAGTAATCTCCGCCATAGTCTTTGTAGTCTTGCAAAGGTCCTGGAACTCCCTCGCCAGTCGTTGCACCTCGATAACTAGTGTAAACTCCCTCTGAAACCTTTGAACGAAGTCCTCCCATGTCATCTCAGTCACTGTTACGGACCCTACCGCTTGGGTAACCTCCTCCCACCAGTCCCATGCTCTGTCCCTCAGTAAACAGGACACGAATCCCACCTTCTCCCCCTCAGGGCAAAAGCTCGTATGCTGAGCATTCTCCATGTCAGCGATCCAGCAACAGCTAGCGATGAGGTCCTTATCCCCAAAGAACTCAGACGCTCCACACGCCTTGAACTCCCAGAATGAGGGAGCTTGAATTCAAAACTGACCCGCAACAATTTCGGCTCGAAAAGACCTGAGCCGCTCCTCTATAAGCTCCATAATCCCCTCCTTGACGGTACCGAAAATCACGGGGGTAGCGTCAAGAATACCGTGCGTAACCTCGGCTGAAATGAGCTCACATAGCCTCTCATCAGATGGTTCTGAGCCATAGCCAGAACCAGAACCTCCCGTTCCCAAACGAGTGATCACCATCCTCAAACTGAAACACAATATATAAACAATCAACAAAAAATCGAGGGAAACTCACAACACACAGGTACCCTTAGGATCCCCAGATCTACACTTGTCTCGGGTACAGGTCCTGTGCTTCCAGTTGTACGGGCCCAATACTACCTTCCACACCTACTTGTACCTTCCTCAAGGTAAATTCTGATTCCTCTAAGTTACCACACTATAACCAAGAACAAACCTATGCTACACAACATACATATCCTAGACTCTTCTAGGAACTCTCAACCCTCACCGCTAGCAGTACCAAGAATTTCAATCTACACCACTGGTTACCTTATGCATGCAAGTTGTACACAAATTAGGATCACATAGACTATCAAATGAAGATTCTACCCTAAGTCCACAACCAAACAAGGATCAAGAAATGAGGCTAAATCGATCATTCTAGATCTATACAACCCCAATCATATACAAATTTGAAAGCATACACTTAGCAAATAACTGAGCCGATATCAATTCCAAGTAATAAATGGCATCAAGTTCTACTGAGCTATAAGACATCATACAAATCAGACAATTCTATCATATGGTGCCTGAAGGTATCCTTAGTTGTAATCTAGCATGCACTTCACATATCAAGCATACTAATCACAATACATAAGTATGGGTAACTTGGGAAACACTTACTTCGGCTGATTACACGCATTGCACTCCCCCTTTTACTTAAAAGAATATTTTTTAGAAATTCAAATTATTTTTCTTTTGAAAAGATTATCATTTCCTCAGTTTAAGTTCTGACACACCTGAAAGTGTGCCCGAATCCCTCAAACCAATGCTCTGATATCAACAGGTAACTGCCTGAAAACTAGGATAAAATTTTCATTTTTAAATAGCCATAATAACAATGTCAAATCTTCAGAGTAACAATATCAATAAGTGAGGAAAATAGTGAGGGGAGAATGTTGTACCATCACGCCAGGCCCTTCCCCTTAGTACCGGAAGTACCTGAAAACATAAATACAAATTGTAAGCAATAGCTTAGTGAGTTTCCCCAAGTACCACATACCATACATAAATAATTTAGTGTTATGGGTCAAACCATAGTCTGGCAAGTAACACCCTACCGAGGGCCAAATCCTGGTCTTCCTTACTGTTGCCAGGGGCTAGACCCTGGTCTTTCATACAAATGTCAGGGGCCACATCCTGGTCTTCCATATAATTGCCAGGGGCCGAATCCCGGTCTTTCATACACATATCACAATTATAACTAGCATTCTACATCACAAATAATGGGTCAGTCTTGGAGCCTTCGACCCATTGATACAATGAGAAATTCACCTCAGTCCGCTAATAAATAACCAACTGCTCGACTACCGAACCGGAAGATGAACATACATAAATTACCCTATTTAGAGATAGGTTTATTAAACCATAACCATGGGCCTAAATCCTAAATCCAAACTCTTAAGATAAAAGCCTATTTTACCTTTCCCATAATAGGCCTAACCGCACTTGGCCCAAACACAATAATGGGCCCTAAGGCCCAAAAGGGGCTAACTCATACAACTTAAGGCCTACTAACAGAATTTTATGGCCCACCTACTCTAAACAGGTCAAAGCCCAAAAACTAACTAAGGCCCAAAGGTCCAAAGCCCAACCGAAGTCCAAAAGCCCACTGAGAGGCGTACGCTTGACATACGGGCTGTATGGTCGGCGTACTCGATCGCTTGCTAGTACGCGCTACGTACCCCCTTGGTACGCTCAACGTACTGAGCTGCTTGCCACCTTAAGCCATTAAGTGCTTATTCCTTTTAGCCACTCGATCCAACTTTCAGATCTCGACCATTATAGGGTTCTAAGACATAAAGTTGGCAACTTTATGCCTTAACATGTTTTAATGGAACCCAACATCCATTTTTTGTCCAAAAAACTCATATTAAGTACTTCAATTCATGCATGGACTCATATCAATCACCAAGATGACATTTTTATGCATCTAAAACATCAAAGGGATTGAGATCTAACACCTCTAACTTCCGGAGTTTCCCAAACTCACAAAAAGAACCCATGGGACCAAATAAACTCATAAACAAGCCCTAGACTTTAATAATCAAAATGAATCATCAAGGTAAGAACTTTTTACCTTCAAAAGCTTCCAAAGTTCATGAATACTCTGGATCTAAAAGCTCAACCTCAACAAATGCTTGGCCTCCAAGTTTCTTCTTCTTGAATACACTCCAAAATGCCACAAAAGTCACTTCCAAGCTCAAGAACACTCAAAAGGATGAATTGAGGTTAAATAGGACGTAGTGGATAGTGGATGGTGATGAGGGTGAGTGTCCAAAGGCCATAATGTTGTTTAAATATGGTGCATGCCCTAAAAATTAGGGTTTCTTCTTGGTTGCCGTACGCCCAACGTACGTGGTTAAGTCCCCCGTCTCCAACCATGCACGTACGCTAAGCGTACCAAATGTACGCCCAACGTACGAGGGACCATTTTTGCAAAGATTCTCAATTTAAAGGACCAAACAAGAACATACCTGGAATGGAATGTTACAGGTGGTGGTGGAGGTTGAAATCCCTAATCGTTGAAAGACGAAGAGCGACACCGGTGAAGGTGGTTTGGATATAGGTAACGACACTGCCCTTCGTAGAAATCTTTAGGGTTGTGCAATTATAAAAGACATGACAACCCTTGAGAGAACCTACCAAATCTCGAAATATTCTATTCTTCCCTCTCCATTTCTTCTTGGACATAAATCTGATCGTGTTTGCATCGGCTAAAAGAAAACCTAAATGGTTTTACAACAAAAACCCTAATTAGGATTTTTGTAAGTTAAGATTTGTTTTGCTTTAATATTACTGCTTTGTGAGCGATTGCGATATAAAGATTCTAATTTAAGATGCAAATACACATAGACAAAACATACAATTTACCACAAGCTACAATTTCAATAATTTACTCTATATTTAATCTAACTTTTTACGACAAGAAAACAGTGGTCTTTCAAAAATCAAGAAATGGTGTCTTTTGTGACTTTCTAAAACGTAAATTAAATTCAAAAGTCAATAAATGGTAAACCAAACATTTTTTAAAAACAACTTGATATTTTCTACCTCAGAAACTAAAGTTCAAAAAAAAAATTACGGAGAAGAAAACGGTGGTCTTTCAAAAATTAAGAAATGTTGTTTTTTGTGACTTCCTAAAAGGTAAATTAAATTCAAAATCAATAAATGGTAAACCAAATATTTTTAACTATATATTTTCCACCTCAAAAACTAAAAATAATAATAATAATAATAATAATAATAATAATAATAATAATAATAATAACTGGGGTTAAAAAGTAATCCCAAACCCCCAAAATTACATTATACGATGCATATTTAATTCCTCGCAATTTTTAAACATCATTACTCAAAACTAAAAAGTAAAGGGAAAAAACATCCTATTGCATTTGCATGGGATACACATATTAATCCAAGTGATAATGGAAATGATAAGGGTAATAGTATTTGTGTACTCCTCCGACACTGTATTTGAGTCATTGAGTGAATGAGATACTTATATCACATTTAATATAATAAAATACATAAAATGTTAGACCCGAATGAATGGAAAAAAGAAATGATTCCTAGTCTTTCCAGTTGTGCTTTGTGGGGACAAGGCAAAGAGGTGTCGTCCTACGAAGAAACGGGAAGCCATTCTCTTTCATATCCAGATCTTCCTTCTTCAATCCGGCCGGTGTTTCCCAGTTGAAGAAGTAAAGTAAGTTTGAAATTGTAAATTCTACAGTTGAAGTAGCCATGTTATTCCCAGGGCATGCTCTTCTCCCCCCTCCAAACGGGATCATCTCAAAATATTTCCCTCCGATATCAGCCTTAATGTTTTCAAATCGCTCTGGATAAAACTCCTCTGCATTCTCTTTCCAGATTCTTGGATCCCTTCCTAATCCCCACGCAGTCACCATCACTTTCATACCAGGTAACACGTCATATCCACCAATCTGACATTGACTTACACATTCCCTTCCCATCAGAAAAGCAGCAGGTGGGTGCAATCTTAGCGTCTCCTTCACCACCATTTTCAAGTATGTCATCTTCGTAATATCTGATTCATCTACTTTCGATTTTCTTCCAACACATCTTCGAATTTCGTTTTGCAACTTTTGCATAACTCTAGGATTTTTAACGAGCTCGGACATAGCCCACACCATTGTTATAGTAGATGTGTCAACTGCCCCCTCAAGCACATTCTGCAGTGATGTTTATTTCATGAAAAAAAAAAAAAAAAAAACGATGCATGAAACTGAAAACCATGAAATAAATCTATGCAAAAATATAGAAAAGTATTTAAATATGTTGTTTACCATCACAAGTGCTTTCATCTCCTCGGTAGTCAACCGAGACATACAGTCATCAACAAAATCATTTACATGACCACTTGTTTTTGTGTCATGATGATCATCAAGAACCATCTGGAGAAAGCCATCAAAATCACTATAACATTTCTCTAGCCTGCGATTCCACCCTGTTAATTCGTCTAAAATCCAACCAAATGTTGGAAAAATAAACGAAAATGAAGCACCACCCATGACTTGTACCTCCTCGACTATATCTTTCAATGTTCTACCATTAAAAGTCTTTCCCCTATAGCTGTTACCGAATGCAACCTTACCCACGACATCATATACTAGAGATAAGAGGATATCTTCTAGGTTTACTGTAGTGTTTAAGGAATGTGATGAGATAGAACGAATGAGAGCCTCCATCTTAATCTCCATCACGTTTTTATATAATCTAATCCTTTTGGCACCCAAGAACTCAGATACCAAAACCTTGCGCATGTCTCTCCAATGATCATTGTGTGGTGCGAAGGCAACGTCCATGTAGTTAAATGACAGTAGCTTGGTAGCCTTAGAGTACGGACGCGTACACAGCTTCTCATCATGAGTTTTTAAGACTTCAGTAGCCATTTCACTAGAGGAAATGACGAGGAATGGTTGGGCTCCAAAATGAAGAAGCATAGCTGGGCCGTATGTCTGGGAGAGGTTCCATAGGGTTTGATGGACACCCTCTTTACCCAACACTTGGTGAAGGTTCCCTATTATTGGAAGCCTCTTAGGGCCTGGGGGAAGCTTGTTGGATGAGCTCCTCCTACGAAGAGCATACATGAAGATGGAAGTAAAGAAGAGAAGTAATGTTGTTGGAAGAATCCATGAAGGGAAGAATGATATGATATCCATATCGATGGATCCTTCTTTTACTTGTGCTTGAATCGTGATGGTGTTTCTCCATATTTATAGTGGAGATGGAGATGAAATTCTAATACGTACCGAATACTTTATTAAGAAAAGGTTTTTGGAGGGTCACTTTTTCAATATAAAATGTTATAATTATAAATATTAAAAATGCACCTTAGTATTATTCTTTAGTAACTACACTATTTAATGAAAATATATAGTTTGGCTAAGCAACCCTAAGAAACAATGATGCGAATAACGTGATACGCGTGAAGATTCTAAAAAATAATAATTTGTAAAGCATATATTTACCTACAAATCGTTTATATCACCATATTAGACTATTAGTACAAATCGTTTATATCACTATATTCGATATATTTGGGCATGACCCGAAACATTAAATTAATTTATGGTCATTCCTTCATATAATATTACGAATTGTAAGTGTAAGGATTCTTGCGTTTCAACTTTCAAGTCCTTGGTTCACTCAAGATTGTTTTTGGGAAGCTTACGATCAATGGTTTAAAAATCAGTTTTTTAGTTGAACCATATGGTAACCGGTTTTCGGTTTAACCGGTTCGACCGTCAGGTTATAAACCGGTTTCCATAATTTTCATCCCTTAACCTTTTTTCCTACACACATATACATACATAAATCAATCATTTGACGTCCATAAGTTGAAACATTAAAAGAATACATAAATAAGTTGTAGGTTAATCAAAATACATTAAAATAATCACACAATGATAAGTCTTACATCAATCAATAGACATCAAGAAGAAAATATAAGTATAATACCGAAACAAAATATAGTTTTATATGGATACAAAAATATCAAAAAAACTTCATAATATTTACCATATGTTCTTATTCCGAGAAAACTAAATAGATATGAAAAACATCACCAAAGTTTATCATACAAAATGATTCATTTTGATGTGTTTCTTTCAATTTAACCGGTTCAACCGGTTTAATTTAACAGGTTCAACCGGGTTTTTGTGAAAACCGACCGGTTCGTTCCGGTTCAGAAAGAGACATAAAACTGGTACTAGTTGAACTGCTTATTTCCCCGGTTCCCGGTCCAACCGGTTCGACCGGCCGGTTCAAACCGATTTTTTAAAACATTGCTTATGATAGATGATTAATCCACATTTTTGTCGATCAAGATTTACGCAGGTCATTTCAACAAAATAGACTTTCACACGAACCAATCCCTTAAGGCTCACATAGATAGTGAGGCCATTTAGTGACGAGAAAAAAGGTGTCGAATTGTATGGTAAGTAATTTTTAGCGCTCATACTCTTTGATATCAACGAAATATATATTCGTCGTTGATCTGACATATTTTATTTTCCACCAACTTCGAAACCAAATAATATTAAACAACCAACACAGATCGACGACGGATGTATTATGGTTAGTGTGATACGTATCGATAAATATTTGCGATGGATGCTCGTTGCTAAGTCGTGATTTTTTTTTTTAATTCATAAAGTTACCAAAAATCTAGATTTTATAACAAACAAACCCATTTTAAATATCAATAACATCAATAAACCACTACTAGAAAATTGGACAATTTCCGACAGCCTTATCCGTCGGGAAAACCGATTACGGAATTAGATCTGTCGTAAAAGTCCCGTCGGTAATTATTGGAGACAGATTTCCGACCGTTTCTATAATGGATTACCGATGGAATTTTCCATATGAAATAAACTGACAGAATGTTTTTTGACCAGTTTGACCATATTTGGCGTATTGACCAACGGAAGGTATTTTCCAACGGAGTACTGATAGACAGTTTTAATGACAGATTACAGATAGATAGTTTTAGTGACATAATACCCACAAACACCTGATGGCTTACCGACGGATGCTCTTTACTTTCGTTACAAACATTTCGGTCATCATCCGTCACTAAAATGTTTTCTGTTTTAAAAATATCTAGATATTTCTGCCCGAAATACAAGAAAAAGTCATTATATTGAAAAGCATTTAACTTTCTAGTTTGACGGTATTTGGCTTATTCGTCCACAAGGTATGTCTAATTTTCTTTCTAGTTAACAAAGCATTTAACTTTGAAAATCTACCCCACAAATACACCTAGAACCAAAATAATAGATTAATAGAGGGAATACATGATCAACCATCTACAACTAAAAGACACAAGCAAAAAGGATTACAATTGATTAAAAGTATCTATTAATAATGGTAGGAAGGTCATTAAATTAAGAACCAAAATCCACATCTTTACCCATATGTTCAGTCGTCCTTCCAATCACAATCTCTCAATCGCTTAATCTGTCTCTTTACTCTTTATCTGTATAGCTAAAAAATATGCATGGAAAATCATTTAAAGTGAGAGGGAATAATATAAAAATAGAAAATGAAGATATAAGAAGTTTACAAGTGAAATGGCTAAGAAGTCAAATGGGCATGGTTGATCAAGAGCCTGTCTTTTTTGCAGACACAAATAAACTATGGGTCATAAACACTTCATACAAAACCCTTTTAATAAGTGCCAACTCAGAGATTATGCTCAACAGAATACCCTCTTCATTTCAATTGAAGAAAAAAAAACGCAAATGAAAAGAAGAAAATTTATGTTAAGCAAGTTCATTCACCAAAAGCATAAGAAGGAGCAATCCTTAGCATGAATTGAGACTCTGTTTTATGATACCATTTTTATGTAAATCCAAAACCATTTTCAGTCCACTATGATCATCCAAGACATAGCTCGGAGAAACAACCGTTTTCTTATTCTAAGAAGTTGGTTGAGAGAAAGAATCCATGGCACAATAAACCCTTCTTTGTTGTATTTTCAACTAGATATCTTCAGTTTAGTAAATATACATTGAACAATTCTACTTTTGCCAAGTTAGATTATGATTGTTAAGTATTATAAAAGGTAAAAAAGAGAGACTACATACATCTCGAATGGTCCATTAAGGTCCACATAGTGAAGGAAGATTAGAACCGACACTATAAAAATACCAAATCGGTTGACTGTGGAAAAGGTTAAAATTTCAAAAACAAATGATGCTTACACTACAGAAAAAAGAAAAGAATCTCACCTGATTCCACCTCCGTTCATGCAAAAATACAGGATTTGATATCTTTATAACCTTTCTCATGTGGCGTTCATTCCAAATCAATAACCAGAAACCTTCTTGAATAAAAATTGATCCTCTCTAAACCCTAGAAATCACTTTTGTCTCCATCAACAATATGAAATTGGTGTAATTTTTGGTGTACATGCAGGTGCGATTCTCTCTCAATTTCCGTTGGCTTTAGGTGAAGCGCTTGAATTCTATTTCAATCCAGAAAAGTAAAAACTACAGAGAGAGAGAGAGAGAGAGAGAGAGAGAGAGATAGATGTCGGGTACCTTTGTTTGACATTAGTTCGGATTAGGGTTTTTGGGTGTATTCTCACCATGATGATTCAACAAGGGTTCTGTAGTTGGCCTGAACAAATCTCACTAAGATGTTCGTGATTTTCCAACAATCTGCAAGGGAAACGGCAGTCTGGAAGGAAAAGACGGATTTACCAACACTTTACCCTAAGCTAAGAGAAATTGAGAGAAGGGGATGGTCGATCGGATTCTTTCAACACCAACACTTAACCCTAAGCTGAGAGAAATTGAGTGTGAGGAGTCATAATACCCTAAATCGCCAGCTAAAATTGGAGTAGGGTAGATGGGAGATGGAGCAGTGACTCAGGACTTTCATTCCCCGGTCGATGTGAGCGCTTTATGAATGACTTTGTTCCTTGTTCAAGATACGATAACTAACAAGGGAGCAACATAGAAAACGCACAACTTCCATCCATCAAGGGAAGGAGATATTTTTTGTGAAGTGAAAATTTAAAACCTAGCGAGTATTCGAGGGAGCGGGAGGGAGCGGGCAGTTTGTTTTTTTTCAATGTATATAGGCCTCGCAATCGTGTCGTGTTCGGGTTGGCGTGTCGCGGGTTGGCGGGTCAAAATATGCCAACCCAAACACGACCCATTTAAATATACAGGTCACGGGTTGGCGGGTCACGGGTTGGCGGGTTTGGAACATAAACTTATATATGACTCGCCAACCCATTTATTATACGGGTTCACAGGTTGGCGGGTTCGTGAGTCAGATTTGTGTTCGTGGGTCAGATTCCATAAATAAATTAGACAATTGAGCATGAATAAATTCTTGATGGTTGATGTAAACATATCCGAATTTTAGACATTTAAGTTTTAAACATCCAAATGAAAATTAAAAACATTCATAGAAACATGTTTAAACTAAACATTAATACAAACATAGATAATTCAAGTGCTAAAGTAATAGCCACAATTCCTATTTTTTTTCTCCCAAAAAACAAAGTCAATTCTCCAACACCATTTCGATATCTAATTTCGATCATAGAGTAACAGAGGGGAGAGTGGGACTGTGGGAGACTGGAAGTCTGGAAGAAGGAGATACGCTCATACGCGATATGATTTTGAGATTATTATTTAGGGCAAATTGGCAAAATGGTTACAGATTTAGTCTTACAGGTTACGACTTATGATCTTAGGCCATCCACCACGAGTCAAAATGTTAAAACAGTCAAATGGTCTATGAATCAATGGTATATATTATATAATACTTATTAAATATTAATACTTGATACATAAATACATTTAAAAATAAAATAATTTTTTTATTAAAAATATAAATGGGTTGGCGGGTCAACCCGTTAATTTTTTTGAGAAACTCATATATGACCCATTTAATAAACAGGTTGGCGGGTTGGCGGTTAGCGGGTTGCAAAACTCAACCCAAACCCATTTATTTCGTGTCGTGTCGCGGGTCGTGTCGAGAATTGCCAGCTCTATCCTATTTCGTAGGTATTTCATTATCGTAGGGAAATAATTAAAGGAAAAAGTCACTTAAGTGTTTTGTTCTACTTGATTAATTATGGCTTTTTTTTATTTCATTTATTTATTTTTATTTTTTTGCACAATAGATCATCTGATTT